TGTGTGTTAATAAAACGAGCCTGAGTTTGAGGAGAATTCAGAATTCAGCAGTCGATCCTCTGACTCGCCGCTGGATCCTCCCTGTGCACAGGTGAACTCGAGCAACGACTTTTGTCTTTTCTTTATACTTTGTGAAAGTTCTTCTTGATGGTGTCGAAGTTGATCAACGAATCCGGGGTGGTAAAACCTTACCACGACACTGTCAACCCGATGCATTGCTTACTGGTCATATAAAGTATTACAAATACAAGAAACTAACCTTGTTTAACGGCAGAAAACGGTGGCTTGTCTGCAGCGGCAAATTGGCCGATGTACGCATGCGCAGTTAACTCGGGTAGGAAAAAACTATAGGTAGGAAAAAACTTCAGAACAACGGCACAGCTAAAGTGGACCCTGGTGTCACATGCACCCGCACGTTTGTTTAGTACTGAACGTTAAACCACGTGACGAACAGGTGGGTTTTGGTTGGTGCTGTCAGCCGCTCAACATTGAACAACGGCGCTGTGAGGTCACGTGACAGCATTTGCTGCAGCTGGCTGAACGAAGCGTGTTAGCAGGTAAGGAAACGAAAGCAAAACATGTGGGTATGTTAATGTTAAAAGCAGCTTGGACATTAAAGTTATATCATTGTAAATGTAAAAAACTAGTTTAAAACAATCTATCGTCTCAGCGAAAAGTTTCGTCTTGTTCAGTGGTAAGCTAGCCAATTACCCCGCTGGCTAACTTGTGTTGTATCCGGCTCTGGCAATGCTTTGTATGCGGACGAGTGCGTTCACTTACCGGTGTCACTTAGCCTGCAGCTATCGTAGTGTGGACCGTTTAACAGTGTAATCCAAATAAAATTTATGCCATAATATATATACACTATATACATGTATATATATTAAATAAATATTAGGTCAAATGTTTCGAACAATTTTCGAATAAAATATGCGTGTGCTTTTCCTCTACTAATGCAGTTGTGTTAGCATGCGCCGCTAACTTTACGTTTACACAAAAGGTATATGTTGTCACTCGCTTTCGACTTTCTGTCGAGTTCTGCGAAACATCGACGGTCAGTTTCACTGTGTGTGGGTCACTGTGTGTGGGTCAATGTCGCCATATTTGTCAAAATAGGCTGAGAAATGTGAAAAGTTAGAATCACAAAGTGGAGCGGTTAGCTTTGCTAAGGCTAGTAGCTAGCAAGAGCTTTGGTCAAAGCGGATCATATTACTGTCGCTCTCCAAAATAAGATTACGGGAAATAATCTCTTCAAAAATAATACCCACGTTTTAAGAATCTAGCGAGAGTTCGATGCCAATGTGAAATGCAATTTAATTCGTTGGGTGTCTTGAAGACAGAGCAGAAGATCAAGTGGTGGAGGAAGGAAGGAAAGAGAAATGTTGTGAAGACTTCAGGAAGGAAGTAAGGGCAGTTCTGGGCTGTGTTGAGGAATTCCCAGATGATTGGGAGGTTACAGCTGCAGTGATTAGGGAGACAGGTCGGCAGGTGCTAGGTCTTTCCTCTGGGCAGACAAAGGAGGACAAAGAGACTTGGTGGTGGAATGATGAGGTCCGAGAGAGTGTGCAGAGAGAGATTAGCGAAGAAGAGATGGGACAGTGACAGAACAGAAGAGAACAGACTGGAGTACAAAGAGAGGACAAGGGAGGTGAAGAGGGAAGTGGCCAAGGCCAAACAAAAGGCATATGAGTTGTACGAGAGTTTGGACACAAAGGAAGGAGAAAAGGAGGTGTATAGATTGGTGAGACAGAAATCAAGCTGGGAAGGATGTGTAGCAGGTGAGTTTGATTAAGGACCTAGAGGGGAATGTAATCACAAGTGAGGAAAGTATACTGAGAAGATGGAAGGAATACTTTGAGGAGTTGTTGAATGAGGAAAATGGAAGGGAAAGTAGAAACGAGGAACCAGAGACTACTAGGGAGAAGGTAGATCAGGTTAGAAAGGATGAAGTTAGAAAAGCCCTGAAGAGGATGAAGAGTGGAAAGTCAGTTGGTCCTGATGACATACCAGTGGAAGTATGGAAGTGTTTAGGAGAAGTGGCAGTAAATTTCCTGACTGGTTTGTTTAACAGAATTTTAGAGACTGGCAAGATGCCTGATGAGTGGAGAAAAAGTGTTCTGGTGCCAATTCATAAGAAGGGTGATGCAC